TTCGTTTCTGAGATACAGGATGTTGAAATTTAACAAAAAAATCAGTTATTCCCCAATATCTCTGAAACAGCTCTGGCTTTTTTCTTCATTACAAATACTCAAAAATAGTTACCATAAAATTATAAAAATATTGCTTAGATCTTTTGGTTACCACAATTGTGAAATTATGACTAAGAGTAAAAATCGAATAGGGACAAGCAAATGAATGCATTTTATTTTTTAACTCAAATACCGTTCGCCGGACGAAAAAAAGACAAGAGACCATTTTTATGAGAAGATAGAGGATAATTACAAAAATGATATTTATTTGGAAAAAAAGGCAGTGGCGTATCATTATTTTGATGAAAAATATGACAGGGTATGTTAACAGGGACGCCACTGATGGAAATTAAGAAATCCTTTATTATGGAAAAAATGTATTTCTATTCATACTTTGCATGTACCGGAATTGAAGAAAAAAGCCAGAGTTGTTTCAGAGATATTGGGGAATAACTGATTTTTTTGTTAAATTTCAACATCCTGTATCTCAGAAACGAAGCTGTTACGGACCTATGTTCACATGAAGAATTTTTCTTAAAATCATCCAAGGATTATCGCCCTTTAGGATCAGCATTCAATTATGAAACACCCTGTATATAATATATCTGGAAAGCTCAGGAATCATTAATGATAGACAATATGACTTTATCCACCGAAGATCAACTGGAGGACATGGGGACCTCTAGCTGTGGCGTTAGATATATCGAAGGCATTCGACCGTTTTTGGTACCAAGCACTGCTCCACAAACTACTATCAAATGGCTTACTACCTCAGCTATGCCATCTTTCATTTTTTTGTTTTTTTTTCAGGCAGATCGCTCCATTGGTGGTGGACGGGTATCGTCTGATACCATTGCCATCAATTCAGGAGTTCCACAAGGATCAATTTTGGTAGCAACATTGTACCAACTTCATATCAATTAGCTTTTGGGAGCAACCGTTTGCCATATCCACAGCTTTGCAGACGATAGTACTCTCCATTGTGCGTTCTCTTCTAGAATTCTCAATTCTCTCCAGGAAACGTAGAAAGGCCAACGCTGTCAATGAAGAGCTTACTTGCTTACAGCTCGGGGAACCAACAATCTAGTTAAATGCAACGCCAGCATAACTCAAGCATGTATTTTCTCTAGAAAGGCATAACTCAGTATGCCTGATATAACAAACGGACCGATTCTCTAAGAAGTGTGGCTAAATTAGTAACGTTGTTATTAAGAACTTTTTCAACCACCCCAGATTTTCCACTATTGATATTTGGGATTCTATAAAGACAACATTTATCAATGTGGTTAGTTTCTTACATTTCCACTCAGTGCTATAAAAATAAAGCTGCGAAGTTAGTCATTAATCTACTATTTCATTGAGTTGGTTAGTTTCTTACATTTCCACTCAGTGGTATAAAAATAAAGCTGCAAAGTTTGTCATTCATCTACTATTTCATTGATTTCTGCCTTTTTACGCCAATTGAACCTGAAAATTGATATACGCTACAAGCACTTGATTGAGACATTGCTACTACAAAAACGCAACTGAGGTTGAGTTGAGTTGGAATTGACTGGATTCGTCTGGTCATGACTAGACTTCGCCCATTTGCCCTCGGTATTATTGTTTTTTTTGTGAGGACAAATAAAGACAAATTATCATTATTATTACTATTTACTTCAACATGTAGTAGAATAAAAGTAGCCAACCAACGTCTTCCATATGTGATTCTTTTAATGGTATCGAAACCTCTAAAACCAATACTATTGGAATGTGATAAAACAAAAATAATAAGGTAGATATTTCATACTTTCTTGCCGTAGAATCACCTCTTGTGCAACATCTAGCATTAACAGATGAACAACATTCCCTTGAAATAGAGCCACAAATCACCAGAAGAAGCTGGTGGATATCTGCCACAATTAAAAGTGGACAAAAACAACAAGTTGTTAATTTATTATCCATCTAGGCCTTAGAGAATCAGAAAATCTGTGAGTGGTTCAAATAACCACTGACCTTCATATTAACCACTCGGATGACAGTTGTTAAAATAACCACGCTCTTAGTGAATCGGACCGAATGTCTGGTACCACCATTCCCACCAAGACCACTATATCTATGATCGACAAGACCATCAGCAATACTCGCTCATGGGAAGATTGTAGATTGTAGATGGATCATATAGGCTTGGAGACCTCTCGATCACTGCGACCTAGAAGATCTATTGTGATTACCCTTATCTAGTTTTGGTCCTCTAACCCTAGACTTCTGATGAAGCCTAGAATTTTCCTGACGGTTGAATTTTCCACCTCAGCAGGAGTGAGATAGACCTGTTCTAGGTGGTTCAACCTTTGGCGGACTAATACTTCACATGAGCAAAGTAGTTTCGCGGTTTCGGTGGCATTGTTACAAAAGCGGCAAGTGTCAGTCTCCGCCAGGCCCATCTTTTTGAGGTGGTACCTCAGAGGGCCGTGTCCTGTGAGAAAGCCTGTGATAAGCTATCGCTCTGATTTGCTGAGGCGGAGTAGCACTTTGGCTCGGTTCTGCGAATGGTTGATGAACCTTTTCGCTTGTCATTGACCTGGAGTTGCTTTCCAGTAGGAGGACTTCTCAATTTCTTCCCGTTTCTTGAGTTCTCCCTTCAGCTACAAAAAGACCTTTGCTCCGGCACCTTTCACTCATGGCAAAATCATGTCCGATCCATCGCAAAATCTGCTTCACAGAACTCGGATTCTTGTTCCGTGCGAAAATCTACTTTTCATCTTTACAGCTTCTCATGATCTACAAGGCACAGATACGGCCAGTTTTAAAATACTGTTCTGATGTATAGGGTTAAGCACCCAAACATACGCTAATGCTAATAGATTACATCCAGAGAATAGTCATTCGCCTGATGGGTGATGCCACACTCACTAACTCTGTGACCTCTTTAAAACACTGTAGAAAAGTCGACGACCTCTTACTCTTCTACAGATACTACCACGAGAAAAGTTCCTTCGAAATCTCTGTTATAATGCCATCGCTTACAATACCAGTCAGACGATCTCGACAGGCCCAGTCAGCATATTCTTTTGTCGTCAACCTGGAAATATGTCGAACAACACTGTACCAAAACTCGTTGGTCTATTGAACGGCGATGCTTTGGAATTCTTTGCCGATGGAAGTATTCCCAGAAACTTATAATTTTCGAAAGTCAAAAAGAAATCCAGAACCTTTCCCATCTCCCTATCTTTCCTAGGTACCACGAACATTATAGGAATTTCCTTTCGTGCGCTCTGAGAGTTAAAAAATATTTTATACTGTTTTTTCAACACTACTACCAGATGATGTGAAGAAATTGAATGTAAATGCCATTCTAATGCAAAAAGAAACAGTATCTGATCGAAAAATGTTTCTACTCTATTCAAGAATTCAACCCTTATTGACCGATGACATAATATAGATTAAATTGTATTAATAAATAATTCTGGGATGGGATATTTATATAACCACGTTGTCATGTTTGTTGGACCAAAGTGATAAATTTAGTTGTTGATTATTTCATTTCATTATTCGTTAATTTATTATTTTAATTAGCATTTTTTCATATTGATGAGTGTGAACTTGTAAAAACTACAAATGAAATGAACAAAAGGAATGCTTCTCAGCATTTAGGGCAATGATAATTCACTGGGTTGACACTGCACAAGATGTGATGGTCCATTTATTAATATTTGTTGGGCGGGTCATCAAAACAATGATAATAACTTCGGATAAACATCATGCCCTTGAAAATATGTTGATGAGATTGTCTAGACAATATAGGATTAAACACCCAAGAAATAAGGAAATGTTTCAATTAGTACTGAATCATGCTAGGCGCCATTTTATTCGTTGAGCAGTTTATATTATTTGTCAAAAAGTTCTGCTTATGCAAAAAGCACGAAAATGCAGGTTTTATAAATGTTATTGTCGTGATGAAATCAGCCCAAAAAAAACACTTACCGTAATCTCAATACAATATGACTTCGCACCAACCGATTACTAACTACACCTTATTCAATTTAAGTTCAAAAATTGTCAATTGTATTTCCAAATTTTCATTCGGATTTCAGAATGCATCATTCGTATTTCAAATTGCATCATTCGTATTTCAAATTAGTCAATTCGATTTCGGAAAGTATTCAATGTATTTCAAAATTATCAATTCAATTTCAAAATGTGACAATTGTATTTCAAATTAGTACATTTGATTTCAAAAATCTCAATTGTATCTCGAATTATCAAATTAATTTACAGAAACTATTCCAAAATGGTTATTTGTATTTAAAAAATTATCAAATATATTTCATAATGCCACATTTGAATTTCAAATCTGGAAAAGCACAGGAATGCTTCTGGCTTCTGAATCCTGTCCTTGCATCAATCATCATCAATAGAAATGATTAGTTTCGTAATTAAAATGATGGATTTAGAAATTGAAATGATAATTTTGAAATACATTATTTGATACTTTTTGACATCAAAATGACAAATTTGAAATACAAATGACGCATTTTGAAATTGAATTGATGATTTTGAAAAACATTTGATACTTTTTTAAATTGATACTTTTTGAAATTAACTTGACGCTTTTTGAACTAAAATTGCAAATGATGTAGTCAAATATTGTAAACGTTCAACTTGATATTTTGGTTTGGACTGTTTCGAATGCGGCACAAGTAGGGTTTTGAGATCTACCATTCATTCTTGTTATCAAATCACGAAACTTAGCGCAAATTGCCGCACAGGAAAGTGCAAATGGTCGAAATTTGCAGCCAGTGAATGCATGAAAATCCCATTAACAACCGCGCATCTATCAGAGCATTGCACAATGCACTTCTCATCAACTACGAACTGAAATTTCGTACAGGAGGTGACGATAATTCCCAGTTTGGAAAGAAAATTATCAGTTCAAAGTGACAATTCATAATTTTCCAAGCAAATATTAGTGAAAAACGTCCAAATCAGAAATGCCTCGTTCCACTTGTTGACCAGTTTATACAGATTCGACAGCGCCCTCCCAAGCTATCCGACACGAAATGGTGTACTAGACTGCCGTGGGAGTTCTTGGCTGTCAATGCCATTTGGCTTTCTGCGCAAAAATGTCGGCTCGAAGATTCTGCGCAAAACAGATGCCTAGAATCTGGAAAACAATAGTAATTTTCGTATCTAATGCGCCAAATTCTACTTTGGTGACCGAGAACTGCTTTTTTTAACGAGGCGCAGCCGAGTTTGAAATATGATCACCAAAGTATTTGGCGCATGAGTTGCAAACCATTTTTTTTTCTACAAACGTCAAAACATTATGATATGAAATGAGTAACATGCTTAGTATCAGTAGTCCAATAAATGAAGGAGGAAAAAAAGGCAAAGTTAACGGTAATTATTATTTTCATCTTCCGGTTGGAAGTAGCTTTTGGTACCTCATTAAACATGAGACAAAGTTTGACTGGAAAACGCGTGCGATGGCGGAGAAAATGGCCCCAAAAGACCAGGAAAATAGGTTTTCAGCCAAAATCTCCTAAAATATGGCAGTTAGAGATTTTCGGTTCGGCTAAAAATTGAAGATCAGTTAATTTTCTACAAAAATGGTCCTTATCATTTTTCTCGAAAATTTGACCGGTTTCGAGAAAAACGACACGAAGCGCAATTCGAATAATGAGCTTCTGTTGTATGCCGGAGAGCACAGTCCGTATATTTACACATCGGCAGGGGGGCAAATTATTCAATAACTTTGTTAAAAATGCATATTTTCTCATGATTCAAAGTTCATATGAAAGAGGATTTCTGCTGCTATCATACCCTGCGTGGCCGCATGGTTTGTAGCAGACGACCCGAGCGCCACGTAGAGCACACACGCAGCGAACGACGGAGGAACGAAAGTAATAAATTATAGCGTGTACATTTAGATATACTGGTTTTTTCCCGGGATATCAAAGGTATGACTTATATACATCGATGGAAAGTTGGGAATTTCCCCGTTACACTAGTTAAGGTGTTGAAATGTTAGAAATAAATAGCGCGGAGAAAAAAACCACCGAAAAAAAAGTGCGTTTTTTCCTTGACCCCGTTTTTCTAATTTTATTGAAAAATGGACGACTTCGTCTAACAAAGTAATTGCACAATCGAAAAGTAGACCTTCTTAGCTTTCAAATGATGTATCATAGAAACCAATCGGATCATGTATACATTTTTAATTGATGGTTGTTCACAAAATTTCCCCGCGCTCCAAAAAGAGCAAAAAATTGGGATTCAATAAACAAAGATTAAATGAAAATTTAAAAAAATTAGGGTATATAAATTTCAGGGATGACGAAGGACCTTATGAGGACCCATAATCAAGAGAATTTTGAGTAAATTAGTGCAATACAAAAAAAAATAGGAACAAATTCCTGGCGAGGTCAAAATTGACCGGGAGCAGAAAATTTGACCCATGTTCCGATATGGCCAAAAGAGTCAAGCGTGACTCAATTCACAGGGTATGATAGCAGCAGAATTCCTCTTTCACATGAACTTTGAATCATGAGAAAATATGCATTTTTAACAAAGTTATTGAATAATTTGTCCCCCCGCCGATGTGTAAATACACGGACTGTGCTCTCCGGCATACAACACAGAAGCTCATTATTCGAGGTGCGCTTCGTGCCGTTTTTCTCGAAACCGGGCAAATTTTCGAGAAAAATGATAGGGACCATTTTTGTATAAAATTAACTGAACTTCAATTTTTATTTGAACCGAAAATCTCTAACTGCCATATTTTAGGAGATATTGGATGAAAACCTATTTTTCTGGTCTTTTGGGGCCATTTTCTCCGCCATCGCACGCGTTTTCCAGTCAAACTTTGTCTCATGTTCAATGAGGTACCAAAAGCTACTTCCAACCGGAAGATGAAAATAGTGCGTAATTAATGTTAACTTTTTCCCTTTATTTATTGGACTATAGCTCGATATAAAAAATAGTGTTGAACTGTCTTAAAAAGCCTTAATTATTGTTTATTGTTATGAAATAAATAATTTCTTTAATTTAAGCTTGATTAAGAACAAAAGGTTGAAATACAAAAATCCCATATACCGGGTGTCCCAGTATACCTGTTCCAATAGATTATCTCAGCCATTTCGAATGATGAAAATTTGAGAATTACATGATCTACTACAATTCTAATAATTTGAAATTATTATTGAAGCCAAAATCAAGATTATCGTAGCCTACTGCAATTCGTTTAATTTGAAATTCCAATTGTCCTTTTCTCCATCAAATCAAATCAGGTATACTGGGACACCCGTTATACAATATGTCTCATTTTCGATGTCCTTGCGAGATATCTCACTTATTTTTGGAGATAGAGATTTGTGGTTTCCGCGAACGTTGGATACATACCTCAAAAGAATTTTTATAGCCCGCTTCGTTTTTGAGATACAGGGTGGAATTCAGATCACAAATTCATATTACAGCCAGCTTTCACCTTATAGGAAAGGAAAAAACTTTCAGTAGGTTAATCGAGGAGGTGGTATATTCATTATTCCAAATTTTTTGGGATTTTCTCTCCTCGTTTCTATAAAATAAAAATATGAATATTATTTCAATATACGGTTGGTTATTTGGGTTGAGACGCATACGTGATTTGTTTCCGATTTCAGCAGATTTAGCATTTCATACCCATGCTGGAGATATAAATACACCCTATTATAGTTTAGTATTGAAATTATAAACATCTCATTTAAGTATTTTTGTTCTGATCAGGGAAGCCTTCAAGATTCAAATACTTGCGTGATCTGTATTTCATTCGTTATTCTCGGGATGGATAACTTGTTTTTGTATAATCACGGCAAGCAATAGTTTTTTTGTCTCAAACAACGATATTGTTCAGCTTCATTTGATTATCAAGTCGAACACAGTGTAGTATGGAGAGGAATAAATAATCACTATTATCATTGTTGGTATGCTCACTAACCTAACCGGTTTTTGGCATAAGAGCACCTGGTCCATACACAAGTATGTCACTCTGTGGTTATATTTATATTGAAACTACAATTCGAACATCCTAGAAAACCCAACCTGCTGTTAATGCAGGTAGAATATTCTCACCACATGGATTATTTGTCAATATTTGTTGCATTGTATACATTAGGCACGGCATTGGTGGTTACTTCACATGTTTATTTTGAGTCAATTGTTTCGGTTGCAGAAAAAATAGCATGTTTCATTCGGATCAAAAGTGACTTTGTTCGACTCGCAAATTTTGCTTTCGCTCGGCTGCGCTAAACGCTCCGCCTCGCAAATGCAAAATTCGCTTGTCAAACAAAGTGGCACTTTTGATTCTAATAAAACAATCTACTATTATTGATCCGTCTTGTAAATGTATAGCAACATTTCGAATATCATGAATTTTCATATTAATCCTGTTGCTGATGGAGTGATTCGTCACACACTGATTTACATTTTACCAACATTCATTATTTACCAATATTCAGTAGTATTTATTGAACATAAAAGCTGTGGACCTAATTAGTATATAGGTAACTACGAAAAAAAAAGCGAGTGCAGAATATTTTATAATTATTCTTGTCACATGTTTCAAAATTTCCATCCAATGGCGATTTATAATCCAGGATATCAGAACTATATTTTTTAAAAAGTAACTTATATACCACACATTAATTATAAAACATTCTGCACTCGCTTTTTTTCATAGCCACCTACTAATGAGTCAATAAATAGTGCGTAATATTGGTAAATAATGGAAGTTGGTGAAATTCAAACTGTGTGTGTCAGCAACAGGATGAACATGAAAAGTCATGATACTGAAATATCGAAAATATTACCACACTTTCATGATGATGTCTGAATAATAACAGCTAGTTTTCAAAATCTGACTACGCAACTGGATTCCACGTGGAAAACTGTATATCTGACAGTTTTAACTTTCCCTATAAGTTGAAAGATGGCTGAGATACAGGAAGGGGGTTCCAAAATGGTACATTTTCGATTTCGCCCTGTATCTCGAAAACGAAGTGGGCTATGAGAATTTCATTTATGGTATCGTGAGTTTCACAAAAAAGTAACCATCGTTCGCGAAAATCACAAACTGAGATATCCCGTAAGGACGACATCGAAAATGGGACAGCCTGTATATTTATATATAGTCTACATGCAGTACGCGGAGCATGTATTTCGAGCACTGTTTTACTTCGCGCACTGTTTCACCTACGGTTTCATGGTAACGTAGGAGAATGAAAGAAAGTTTCACTTATCATATTGGTATCAATGCGCCAAATTTGTCATATTTCGACGTTTGAAGAAAAAAAGGAAGTTATTCCCCATTTTTCTAAAGTAATTTTTCACTAATCGGCATGCATAATGCAATTGGTAGATAACATAATAGATTCCTTCTCCTTATAGATAGATATCCTTAGATATTTTGGGATATAAATGGTCACAAAATAGAAATAAAACCAGAATGATAAGACCCTTATTTCACAAGAAAAAAGTAATATAATAAACTCGACGATGTTTCTACAAAATATTCAAATAATTACACAGAAGAATAAGAATAAAGAAGAACATTCATTTAAATCCTCTGAAATGAAGAATATTTGATTACAATTATAAAGAGGAAAGATTTGTTGGTTTGATTGTTTGTTTGAATTGAATAGGCTCCGAAACTACTGGACCGATTAGAAAAAATATTTTTTCGGCAACCCACGGGGAAGTCCTACCTTCCCGGACGCTTTTTCTTTGAGAAAGTGACATTTTTCCGGCATAGTCCGAGAAGTACGTACTTCCCGGACTAGGCCAGGAAGTATCACATCGTTGTTGTCACTGTAACTATAGAACTTGGTAGTGATAATTACCATAATAGCGAAATATCGGCTGACAGCTATTTGATATGAAATGGGCTTAAATCACAAAAAAATGTTATTTCATAATTCGATAGAACTCACCCAAACTAGCTCATCATCACAAACCGTTTCTTGCTGTGAGCTCCCTACGTTTTATAAAAAATCATTGAAATCCCGGTCAAAACCCTAATACTGAAACAAGACTATTCCAGACAGAGATGAATGATACATGATTTCTGACAGAGTGAATTAGAGTGAGATCACAGTTGAAAGAATTAATATATCAGTTGCCTCAGTCTCCGTCGGGCGTTTGGTATTTTCTTTTAACTATGGCGAGATGAGGTTTCTACGCCATAAGAGGTTCCGTTTTCAGAAGGTACTATTATTTATGTCCAAACATAAAACTTTCCAGTTAATTTTTCGATCGAATGGGCGTGTACACCTTAGTAGAACTTTTAACTCAAACAATGTTTATAATGATCCTTTTATACATAAATAATGATTGACGACATAATTCGATCGAAAAATTAACTGGAATGTTTTATTTTTGGACATAAATAATAGTTCCTCTTATGACGTAGAAACCTCATCTCGCCATAGTTAAAAGAAAATACCAAACGCCCGACGAAGACTGAGGCAACTGATATATTGTTTCTTTCAACTGTGATCTCGCGCTAATTCACTCTGTCAGAAATCATCTATCATTCATCTCTGTCTGGAATAGTCTTGTTTCAGTAGTAGGGTTTTGACGTCACATCATCGCCTCAAGGGATCATTATAAACATGGTTTGAGTTAAAAGTTTTTCTAAGGTGTACACGCCCATTAGTTGACATTTTGATTTTTGAAAAGTTGGTTGCAATTATCGCAATGAATTATCGAAAACAGCTGCGATAGTGAGTTTGGAAATGTCCATACGAAATTTCCAATGTAACAGTTATTAGGTATAGGTATTCTGTTCAAATTTCAGTATATGATACGAATGAGAATTAATAAAGAAGAAATTGTATTCTACAATGAATTATAATATGGAAATGTGACTCATTGACTTGTTATTCTACATGGTTGCCGAAAAAATTGTGTTCCCAAGACGTTCGAAAACAGTTTTTTTTGGACCCGCAGATTTCCAGGACTCGCCTACGGATCGGCCTAGAATTTTGTCTACTCGTCCAAAAAAACAGTATTCTCCGAATGTGTTACGTAATTTACTATCATCATTAGAAGCTGGCATTATCCCTGATAAACATAGGCTACATTTACTGCGGGAAAATGCTTCATTCTTACGGAAAAACGGGTAAGAGGACAACGCGGGTAGTAAGAATCTTTTTCAAATAACATCTGAACCGATTAGGATGAATTTTTATATAGGTATTTCGATGGTTTTCTGGATGAAAATTTGAGGCGGTAGGTGGCACTGCTGTCAGTACGTCTACTACTAAACGGTTTGACCGATTGAGTTGAAATTTTTATTACGTAAAACAATAAAAAAAATACAGAATATACTGAGAGAATGAAAATAGCTGTGAGAATAGTGGAAGGAGAAGATGGTGTGCCTACGTGCATATTATGTGACGTCATCTGGGATACCAATATCAGCTGCTAGTCACAGACAGATACCGTTGCCATGGGCGTGCGCAATGAATTCAATCATGTTTGTTGAAATTTCTATGAGTTTCTCGATCTGTGTAGAAATAATTCAATTTATATAAACAGTTACCTATTCCTTCGATTTTACTATTTCATTGATTATGGAAATTGTGATGTTGAGGTAATTTGCAATCGCAAATAGCAAATACATAAGAATTATCATGCATTGCCAATCCCATCTGAATGATCCACTACTGTGTCGATTCTGACAGATTAAAATTCAGCAGTTAACGACGTTGACGTTGCTTCTGCTCCGACATCGACAACAGGAGTATCAATTTTTGCCGTTTTGTTATTCAAATCTTTGCTGCAATTTATATTTTGTGAGAAATTAAGAGTTTTGAATTCATTTTCAATTATTTCTGACTTGATATTCGGAAGATGTTCTGTAGGAATTGCATCTTGTTTCAAATATTTGTGATTTTTTGGAGGTGTGTAATTCAAGAACCGTTTTTTCGCACTTGTTTGTGAACATTTTGCATGGAAATGATTTGAAGAAATACGTGCTGTAATATGAATGTGATGATAATATGATAGGTGAATACTTTGGAATGAAGATATAAGGAATATAAGGTAGGTACCATTATTTGAATTTATATTCTGTCGGCAGCAAGCTGCGATCGTTTCATTAGGTCTCCATTCTTGGAAAAGCAGAAAAATTTAATATCTGTGCCTTTTGTATGTTAATTGGAATTTCCATAACCAGAAACGAAGCAAGTAGGCATTTCGGAATTATTTCACTCAATTTTAGTACTCATATAATATCCGAAGTTCGAGACATCAATCACCGAAACAAATGATAACAATGACAGTTATATCCCAGCTGACGTCATGCGCAGAACAAGACGAGTTTGAGCTTTCTGTTGAGCACACCATCTTCTCCTTCCACTATGGCTGTGAGTATACAGGGTGTATTCACCCTGTATAGCTTTTCGTGATGGCAAAATTCAGTCTGCTATGTGACTGAATCGGTATACAAATTTCAAAAGGTTTCATACTGTGGTTATCCAGTACTTAATGGATGTCCTGAATGGAGTACTCAGACATCAAAATTTGAGGTCTGGTCTCGTTTTTCCGTTTTTTCTCGAAAATGAAGCGTTCTATCAAGTATTAACAAGAGGATCTTTTGTATTTGACACTGTATGGAATTTGAATTTTTTTCGTCGTTGCTCAAATGCTCACTTTAAAGTAGAATATAAACAATAATATTCCCGTAACGGTGCCACAGGTAGAGGAAATGAAACTTTTTGTACATCAGAAAATAAACCTTGATGCATAAGAGACGTGTACCAAATTTCATGAAGATGTATACAATATTGTCTCAGTTATTATAAAGAAAACTTAATACTTTTCATAACTTCATCATCCTGTATTTCAAAAGTTGAGACTTTTAGGACATACGTTTATATGAAGTTTTCTTCTTAAAATATTAGCATGTCTTTAAGGACCACCCTGTATAATAAAGGACGATAGACTCATGGAATATAAATTATTCAGAAGCACCTTGGTGTCCTCCATCGACCCTTGAAATGATTTTCATTGTATTGTTTTTTCTACTTTGAGTTATAATACTACCTCAAGAATGAGTAAGGAATCGAATAAAATGATCTACCAATTGCATTTGAGAAAATTGAAAAAAAAATCATAGGACACTTACGTGGCAAAACAACAGAATAAAAACGCAAGAAGCAATAGAAATCATATTTTTTTCCGTCCACTCTTCTATAGCTTCGAGACAGCCTTGTTCGTTTATTATTTTCGATACATCAAAAGTCTGTAAAGAAGCAATGAAAACAAAAAGCTTTGAAAAAATCCACGATGACAGTAAAAAGCAGAGTTTTTCAATTCAGAAAGACTTTCGAAATGAAGTGGTCAAAAATGTAAGCAGAAGACATTCCAATTAGGTTGGATTCAGAACAGTTACTGTATGTAAATGAAGCACTAAATGGGAACAACTTCAATCCCAATTTTCGACTCTTGACTTGGAACATTTGTATGTTCAAAAGTCAAAATTTCCGATTTGAAAAATCCACATTTTTGACCCTAAACTTGTGTTCCCAACTTTGAAGTAGTGGATTTCGACTTTAAATTAGGAATTTCCTATTTTCAATTTCGTAACTTCGACTATAAGAAGTCAGAAAAAAGGAACACCCTGTATTTCATTTCATCTTTGGATTCTCCCTGAAGAGCTGATTTCACCAATATATCACACTTGGGGTCCAGCGGAAATGATTACAGAGATATAGGGTGTTTAAAATCGAGGTTTTTCAACTGTCGACACTATGCCATTTTTGGAACAGTTACAGGGTGATCAGAATTTTGATTCTTGAACCACTCTGTATTTGTTCCACATAAATGTCAGTAGATAGTAAATCAAAAGTGAAGATAGGGACATGTGAGCTGTTCTGGCCAATAATGAATAGTTTCGTTTAGCTGAAATCAGTTATGAGAAAACTGTTGCCATAGCAACGATCGTCATGTAACAAGTAAACAAAAATCCGATTCCAGTGGTGAGGAAATGCATGGTTGCCAAGTTGTATCGGGTTTAATTAATTTTATGAAAAAACTATTGCCATGGCAACGATCGTCATGGTAACGAGTAAACAAAAATCTGATTCCCGTGGTGAGAAAATGCGAGGTTGCCAAGTTGTATCGAAGAAATATTGCTTTATTCATTGATTTCAAAAACACTCTCCAATGCAACCATCCTTCGCGTGCCAAGCTATTCGACAAAATCGAAAAGAAACAGACCCATTTTGGAATATTCATTACGAGGTATCGCGCAGGATATAGGAAAAGACACAGGTACTGGTTGTCTAATACAGATGGAAATATGTCGTTAGGCCCAAATTTCCATCTAACCACATTTCCATTTGCCTTCATTTCGATTCATCCATACCTTTCTTCACGCGCACATTTTGATTCAGCCACAGTCTTCAAATACACACCAACGATGCCTTGCTACCAAGTCTGATCGATGTTGAAAAATATATTTCTTCTAAGAAGAAGGTTCATTTAAGCCGAGTTAGGTTAGATTGTCTAGAAAAAGTAATGTCCTTTTTTATGCAGGAGGGATATTTTCCTTCCTTCCTGAAAAAAGTACCAACTGTCTTCTTAGGAAGAGTCGAGTAAGGTTAGATGGTTCAAAAAAAGTACTGTTTATGCAGGAGGAATATTTCCCTTTTCTTCCTCCCTGGAAAAGGTACCTACTGTCTTCTTAGGAAGAAGGTTCATTCAGGTCGAGTAAGGTTAGGTGGGTTTAAAAAAAAAGTAGTGTTTATGCAGCAGGGATATTTTCCAAACTCCCTGAAAAAAGGACTGTGGAGGCATTTACTGTTGAGAAAAGTTTTGACGAAATCACTTTGGAGAGTAAAAGGTTTGTTTTGGCTGAGTTACGTGGTATAGTTTTGAAGAATATTGATTTTAGGTCAGATTAGGTCAAGTTAGCAGAATCGACTAACCCATGAATATTAACTACTCAATAAGAAATATGTATTGGCAACTAGGGAAAAAGCCAAATACTCAAAGTAGAATGCATTGGTCACGAAGATAGAAACTCAAAGTCATTACCACAACTAGTTCATAAAATGAACGACAAAGCGTTTAGGAAGGAAACACTTGCGATTTTATTCGTTTATACGAACTATCGCATAGGTTTCGGGAGGATGTAATGCAATGTTCTGCGTGGCATATAGCCAGGAAAGTAGTTGTTTTTCTCTCGTTATCTACCATTTTGTCGTTCATTTTATGAACTAGTTGTGGTAATGACTTTCTCTCTTCGTGACCAATGCATTCCACTTTGAGTATTTGGCTTTTTCCCTAGTTGAAAATACGCCAGTCGGGCAACCAGCCACTCCCATTTCATCTAATATGGGATTTTGTTTTGGAGTGTTTCTTTCCTTGCCAGGTGGCGTTCGACGTTCGCGTTTTCATTTCGCAGACGTCGAACGCCTCGTATGGTATAAATGCTGAGATGCGTTTACGTTGGGTCAGGTTCGCACCAGATAGCGGTCAAGAAGCTATCTGGGACAGCCCTGTACTGATGAGAGCCAAGAGCTCGAAACCGGTCTGCAGGTAGTCAGCGTTCCTGAACCACTTAAGCGCAGCTCAGCGTTTAGGAAGGAAACAGTTGCGATTTTATTCGTTTATACGAACTATCGCATAGGTTTCGGGAGGATGTAATGCAATGTTCTGCGTGGCATATAGCCAGAAAAGTAGTTGTTTTTCTCTCGTTATCTACCATTTTGTCGTTCATTTTATGAACTAGTTGTGGTAATGACTTTGAGTTTCTCTCTTCGTGAATATGTATCGGGACAAAAAATTCATACTTAGATTCTTTCTGAGGAGACAAGTTGCTATTTTCAATCCATGTACCTTCCACTACTAGAATATCTTGACTACACTTTCAAGATTTAGGACAATGGTATATCTCCAGACATGTTTCTCTAAAATAATAATGGGAAAGCGACTCAACGGGATTCTTGTGTTCCTTGGATTTGGACTTGCAGTAAGGACTTGCTGGCACCAAACCTTGACTCCGAAGAAAATTCATAACTGTCTTTCTGATTCCTCATATAATGTAAATTTTTGAAATGAAATAAAAAATAGAACACTTGGCAATCACGCATTTATTCACCACAGGAATCTGGTTTTTGTTTACTCGTTACGCATGACGATCATTGCCATAGCAACAATTTTTCCATAGCTGAATTCGGCTAAACTAAACACGATACAACTTGGCAACCACGCATTTCTTCACCATAGGATTTGGATTTTTGTTTACCTGTTACCATGACAACGGTCCCATGGCATTATTTTTGCCACAACTGATTTCAGCTATACAAAACCCGATACAACTTGGCAACCACGTATTTCCCCACCACAGGATTTTGTTTTCTGTTTACTCGTAACCATGACAACGGTCACCATAGCAACAACTTTTCCATAACTGATTTCAGCTGAACGAAACTTGAACCTTCGTTAGGACACAAAAAAATCAAAGTTGAAAAATATCGATTTTGAACACCCTATATCTCCGAAATCATTCCCGCTAGACCCCAAGGGTATTGATGAAATCAGCTCTTGAGGAAGGATTTCAAAATGCAATAAATACAGAGTGTTTCATTTGAAATAGATAGTTGCTACTACTTTCTTGTATAAGCGGCAACGCTGCATTGCTAAAAATATTTTGGATCGATAGACCAAGAGCAATCATCTGAGTACCATCGACTGTGACCCAAAATTGTAGTACAATAGCAAATGATACATTGGGAAATCTTACACAATAATTTTTGTCTGATCTAGACCACTTAAAAATCATTGGGTCTTTTTGTGCTACAGCTTTTCGAAAAAAAAACGATATTGGACATTTCCATCAATGACCACTTCATTGAACACCAATTTTGAATAAGAACAACATTGAGATGCTTATCGGAAAAGTAGGTACCTGTAGTACCATAATGCCAACTTTGACAGCTGCTACAGGCACCAAATTACTTTCAATCCATTCTTCACCCGCCCTGAGACACCCTCTTTCGAAAATGTGTCTCTCTCCTGGCTGCATTTCACATCAAAAATAAAATGATATTTTCTCGTTGTTTTTTTTATCTCTAATTTAATATGCCGATTTTTTATTCAGAGGAGATGTCATTTTTTTCCTGAAGAAAATACCTTTTTTTGGTGACGGGAAAAAAGTTTGGCATTTCATCTCTGTTGGCAGGTTATAAGATGTCACTTTTCATAAATTACTTTTTTCCCGGATATATATCACATATATACACTGTCGATGGCATTTGTGGAGCTATAGTTCCGAAAAATGAGTCAATAATACCGTCTCCGTCTCGACTTCGCGGTTACGTATATTACTAAAAAAAACCACTAAATTCGCAATTTTTTGAAATCAAATCACAGAATTAGACTGACAGCAGTGACATCAGATATTTGATTACTTCAAAAGAATGATAAAGATGCCTACAACGCAGGTGTCCCTACTGTTAAAAACTTAAGATTTCACGTCGATAATTTTCAGATTTCAAAATAATGTAATATCTTCTCAATATTGATTCCGTCCTTTCTTCTGTCACAGAAAAAAATAGTGTATTATACACGGAAAAATATTAGATTTTAGCTCACGGTTTTTTGTCTCCTGACGCTTACCTGGGGCTAAAATCTACTACTTTTTTCCCTTGTATAATAAATAACTATCTTGCGATACTGACCTAAAAAATCACCATTATTCGAGGAAATTCAACATATTATGTAGAAAAAACTGTCAATAGTGCTGATGATATTATGCAATATACACACATAAATACCGATGCGTATTCAACCAACAAAAAATGCTACATTCTCAAAACCAAATACCAGGTGTCCCAATTAGTTATCGTGTACAGGCAATTTCTCGCTTATTTGACAAGATAATGGGATTATTTCATAATTCCCTACGTTTTATAAAAAATTATCGAAATCCCCGGTTTTTCGGACCTCTGAAAACGAGGCGATGATGTGACGTCAGAACCCTAATACTGAAACAAGACTATTCCAGACAGAGATGAATGATACATGATTTATGACAGAGTGAATTAGCGCGAGATCACAGTTGAAAGAATTCATATATCGATATATGATATATCAGTTGCCTCAGTCTCCGTCGGGCGTTTGGTATTTTCTCTTAACCATGGCGAGATGAGGTTTCTACGTCATAAGAGGGTCCGTTTTCAGAAGGTACTATTATTTATGTCCAAAAATAAAACATTCCAGTTAATTTTTCGATCG